CGGTGGCCGGCGCTAGGGGAAGCCACGCGGTGAGTAGTGGTGGGGCTCCCCTAACCACGAGTCCGGCGACGGGGGGAAGTCTGGGTACCCGCCGGCCGCCGGAGACGATGAGCTACTCATGTCCGATGTTCCACCAGCGCCTCCAATGCCAGCACCGCTCATCGCTTGACCTGAAGATTCATAATAATAATAAATTTTAAAAGGAGCTGAATGAACTGTACTTAAAAAGGGTGTTTGTCCAGGACAAGACACATAAAAGACTGTGAGCTAGAAGAAGTAGTTAGACGAAATAATCTTCTTGTTTTTGTCGAGGTCGTGACAGAATTAAGAATTACTCAGACACGCAAGTAATTAAAAACGGTACCAATATTGGTGTAGACGAGATGATCCGGGGGGTAGTGGTAATGTGCGTGGGGCGGCGAATGCGCGCGAAGGTAGGGCGGCGTACCGCCAGCTCCGAACCGCGCGACTGTGCCTGCAGCGCCGCCGCCAGCCGGCGAGCCCTCCTCGCCACCCAGCGCGACAGTGCTGTAGCTATCGTTGCTTAGATCTGCAACCATATTATACTATAGTGTAAATCAAACCTTCATAGTAAAATTTAGATAATATTTCAGGTTATTTCAAGAATTTTCTACACCTGTCAAATCGCTGGCACAGTAAATTTTGCCATGTTTTTGTTTTTTCTCGCATCAATATTTGGGTTTGTTAACTGCTTAGCGCGACTTTGTATACATTGTATAATATTTCTCACACGAACTATTGAAGTTTTCGTTACTTAATCCTATCTATAGCAAAACTTGTTTCGTACAATTTAAGTTAAAGAGGATTAAATATGTTGCGGCGATTTAGTGTTTAGTGATCACTTATTATAAGCGGATTACCGTAAGCTGCAATATTGCACGAAACATGATTTTTCAAAGTAAGTTAAATACACATATTATATTACACAATACTAAGTTAATATATTTTAAGCGCCTTGACAATATTGTTTCTGAACACTGAGATATTTTTTGCTACAACATTTTTCACAGGGACTTTTGCTAACTACAATAGGTATTGTAATTGTATTGTATTGATTCGGTAATGACAAAGGAACATCATATGGATGTATGTAAGAATAGGGGAAAACCCGATAGACATTTACTTATTTGAAAAATATCACAAATGAATCGAGGATTGGGCTCTAAGTATTAGAGAAGCTCAACGCCTACGAAAAAAAAATATCATAAATACATACCGTGATGGCTGAAGGAATCCAGATCGATTTTAAGCTCGTCCTTATCAAGCAGGCGATCATGTCTTGGCGAGCCGCCGCCAGAACTCTTCATGGAGCGGAAGTATTGTGACCACCGCGTTCGCCCCGCGTCCTTTTTCAATCGTTTTTCCTTCGCTCGTCTGAGTATCGTCAAATTGTATTAGAAAGATACAATTTTCAATCAATTAAATGATAGGCAAAAGATGAAAATCGCTACTTCAATTCAACGAAAACCTAATAGTCATTCAGTCGATCGTTCCTTTTTACAATGTTCTATTAAGTATATGTTCTATAAAATTAAGTATATAAAACAGAAATCCCCAATCTGTCTAATGTTTT